CTTAAATCTAGACGGAACAAGTCTACAGGTCCGACTTTCTGTTCCCTGGTGGCCAAGGCGATCGTACGTTCCCCTTTGTACTTAGCCATTTGCTATCATTGTCCTTTCTAATAAAGATTTGTTTCCTTTTTACCAAGCAATAAATTTGCTATAAGGCACGAGACCTCAGAAAAAAGGCGAGGTTTGGCATAGGGCGCACTGGTGAACGGGATGGAAGAATTTCCTCAATCTTTAACGATTTTATTGTTACCAAATTTAGCCCAAACATGACCGGACTCGAAGCTGCTTTCTTTCTTATCAAAAGGTGTGATTCTTAAAAAAAAAAAAAAAGAAATAAGTGCTTTGAGTATATCATGGATGTACCTTTCTCTCCAATCTGTTCTTTTTCACAACATATCAGTGTGAAATAAAACAGCTGTTTATATAGAGTATTAGATCTGAATTAGTGGACAACGAAAAGTCATACTTCCACTATTCATAAGTCAGGCCTTATATTTCTAATCGTAGTCACTTAGCTGTGCATCATACAATTAGAAAGATAAACTGAAAAGGGCATTCACGTCTTGTAATGTTCACTGTGAATGCTCTATTATTCTGCGATATATTATGTAATTACTGACGATATGGAGAGGATAACTCGGAGAGATGTACACCTTGGCAACCGAAGAATCTGTTACCTCCCATGTTCAACAAAAATGGTGGTTACATACGTTCGACCGAACCTCGAAAACTTTGGTTTCTGTATTTCAGTTCCGTCATAACTGGCCAAAATAGCTAAAAAAAACATCCTTACGGTGGCCAATTTACCATTTCAACTTTGTTGATATATCCAAATTATTAAAAAAAACATCCTTGTGCCTCTCACTTATACCTGTTCCTTGATTAAAAATCGTTTAAATATTCGTTCTCGGAAACGGTTCAGTTTGATATTTGACTGTACGACAGAAGTGACACGTTTTAAATGTAGCGCAGGAGTTTCATTAAACAGCACCTTCGAATTTATCAAAATGTTCTTCTCAGAACGTCACACCTTGCTAACTAGACACAGAACTTGTACAAACTTTTTCATAGGGTTGCAACAGATCTAGACTAGGTAGTGCTAAAGAACGTTAAGGATCGGGTCTCCTCAATATGAACCAATCATCTGGAAGAAATTTTGGTACTAACAATATTTGGCACCCAAATCAGTCCACTTTTGGATATTGTTGCAAGAAAGTCTAAGTTTATCTAGGTCATGTAATGAAATAATCTAACGCTGGCGAAAGAAATCCATAGAAAAATATAAGATCTATAAAAAACTTAATGTAAAAGCAAGAAGCTTAAGATACAACAACTGGCAGAATCAGTATACCCAACATCACCTGCTGTTCTCAATGCCTCTGATGGTCGGCTGAAGTCACTCTTGACGCCTTTAGAGATGATGCACACCCTGAAGTAATACTTAGTGTTATGTTGCAGATCAGTCACTCGTGCCGTAGTACCACGCACTGTACAGAGGTTTGATACCAGGCTCTCTGTGTCACATTTGGCCCAAACCCACGAGTAATCATCATGTTTAATCTGAATCGCGTACGTCACATTAAAGAGTAAAGAGGTTGACTTCCATTCAATAGTGATGCTATTTGCGGTTGCTCTTTTGAAGGTAGGCTTTTGAGGCGGATCTAAAGACATTAAGATGTCAGTAACATTCAATTAGATGTCTTTTGCTCCCGAAATACAGCTTTAGCATCATTTAAAGCAATTCAAATCCATCCAACCGCAACAACGTACCCATTTAATCGATCACTTGCTTATTCAGTGTACTAATGGTTCGGTTGTTACATTTGATCATAAAGTAGAATTGCTATACATGATCTCCCAAAGCAAAAGATTTAATTCAGAAAAAAGATCATCCCTTTACTTTTATCCAAATTGAGCTAAATTGAATTCACCGTACCCTCAAGGTAGAATGACTAGTTACTTCTCAGTGATAAACACACTATCAATTTTGTACTCACTTACTAGATGGTTTAGTTTAGCCAACCTTTTGCTGTTGACTAAAAAACTGCGCCAACAGCGAATACCCATTCAAGCAAATGATTATTGCTTCGAATGACTTCATCCTTCTTTTATTGACAAATATCCATACTCATTTTTTTTAAAAGCAATCGAAAATTAGATTCCGGTGGTTGCTAATTAAGGTGTTGTTCGTTCTTGTCTGATAAAAAAAACATTTCAACTTACCAAGATTCTTTGTTCTCATTGGTCCTGATGGGGTACTGATGGACATTCTACTCACAAAAATTCTGAAGTAGTATGTAGTGGATGGTTTCAAGTTCACCACAGTGGCTTTCAGACTCTCTCTCACGCAGCAATCAGCGATTAAACTTTCCTTACAGCGTGCAGGGGCCCATGTCATGGTGTCGTTGCTCCATACCTGCACATTGAATTTTGAGGACCTTCAGGAATTCCATGCCATGTCAATATTTCCAAAGTCGCTTGAGACAAATTCTGGCGGTTCTAAAGCGCCTAAACAAATATAAATGGAAATGAAATTAAACGAATGGCTCAATCATAATGCTGCTAAGAGCGAAGGAAAAAAATGGATACAGAATTTTTAAATCAATTACGTTCTTAGGTAGGGTTTGTTAATTATAGGATATTCATATTTCACCATTCGCAAGAAGTTAATGTGGTAACCCCAAGTCAATAACAATATATTTCAGTTCTTATCCCACACTTCTGGTCTGACCTCCATGAACCCTAGCCTGGTGGTGTCATTTTTGACATACAGCGTACATACCTGGAGGGATGCAAATAACACTTGCAGAAAAATAGTACGGGCAAAATCCAGTGGCATTCCATCCCTGGTGTTTACATTGTGACAGTGAAGTCTCATTGCCTTTGCACTGTACATTACTCATCCAGGTGACAGGCGTATCCCCTTCACATGCGGAAGGATCAGATGTGTTCTGTGCTCCCTCGAAGCCTAGTTGTTGACATACTACCTTAGCGTTGCTGAGATCCCAAGAATCAGGACACACTGCTCCCCAAACTCCTCCGAAAAAAACTTCCACGAAACCTCGTGAATGTAAAGATCCTTGACACGTATCAACCAACCTAACTATTTAGAAAGAGGATGTGAAATATTTCTCATCTACATCATTTTACTGTTATCGCCTTGTCATTGCAAGAGAGTCAAATATTGCATTTGGATCGTTTTGTCCAATGCATGGTACCATCTTCACACATATGCATGCAGTCAAAATGCGACAAACCTTTTGTCTTTTGTGTATAGATAAATGGATAACTTAGTGCATTTGAGGAAATGTAGGACTTGAAATAAATAAAAAACAAGCTAAAGAGGTTTCCTTTCACTCAAGTCAAGCTTTTAAGACGATCGACAAGTGAGGCGGTAGGCAGAGGTAGAATTGTTGCAATAACAATAGTGCTTGGTCCCAACAGAAATATCTGACTAAACCAATTATCATAGACACCAACAATCAATATTTTACCTTGACTCCCGCTACATATCATACCAGCCATTCGTTTGGTTGCACAAGTGCGTTTCTGTAGGAAACCATCATGCTCACATGATAAAATAGAGCTTTCATTACCAAAACATTGCACAATATTCAACCACGCTGTCCAATGCTCCTGAGCTCGGTTAGAAGTTGGAAAGCTGAGGGTTGTGGATGAGCTTTGGTAACCTAACTGCTGACAAGCGACATCAGCATCTGTTGCATCCCATTTCTCATCACAGACCCACCTCCACATGTCATTGTAATAAACTTGTACTAAACCTTCACTTGGCGTTGCTGCTGTTCCAACTATTCGCACTGAAATGTGTTGATTTTACACTTAATTGATTTGTACTGGTAGAACTAGTTTCCTTCATAGGAAAATATCGAAGAAATGTTTTTCAACAATTGCGCAGTATCTGGCTACACTGAGTACTTAGTACTTGCCGACTTTTTCCTTAAGAGTTTAAACCGACTGACGGTCATTACACAATAACAAAACGCTTCAGGGTGGAGTCAACTTTTGTATGGTTTTCAGCTCTTGTCAGTAATAAAGACCACAAATCATATACCTTATTCCTAAAAGGCCTACATGGCAAAGGAAATTTAACACGTTTTCCAGACATTCTTCCGAATAAGTTATGGGGATTTGTTTTGCAAACTGCTCCTCCATCTTATTGGCTACAGGACATTATCATCAAATAAACGATAATCAGGGATATATAGCTAACATTGTCATACATAAAACTCCCAATGAAAATGCTGCTTGATCGATAACGTACTGCAGTCAATAAGCAATTATTAGATGCGGTTGAGTATAATGCCATGAATTATTAATGCAGAGGTCTAAGTTATCTGAGTTATATTGATTGTGTGCTCTCGACCAATTAGAGTTTTTATAGTAATTTTAATGCATAATGATACAAAACAGCGTGTGATGTTAACATGATAACCCGACAATGGGTTCCCATGTCGAGTTCAAAGTCTGCCAAGTTTCAAAGCGCCTTTTAAGTGTTTTCAAACCATTGCAAACTCAGAGGGAAGTGTCTTTTTTTGCAGATTGTTTCAAAAATGTATAATAGAACAATGATTACGTTGGGTTTTTTGCATCACTGTATTATGAATTATCAAACCTCGTGTTTCTACTATCTTCCTCAGCTTTGGCTTTAGCAGATAACTTAGACCTCGGCATTGATAATTCATGACATGATGCTCAACCTCTCCAATAATTACTTAAAGAATGCTTTTCGAACTGATGAACCTACAAAAAGTACACGACCTGCATTACACGAAACTAAAGTTAGCGACCGAATTTATTTCACTAATCAAGCGAGCATACCTGTAGGGGTACAGATGACATTTCCAAGTGGCAGTATAGGAAGCTCTCCTTCACCATCTGTGAAATCGAAGACCAATGTCCATCCTTGGTGCGAGCAGCTCAAAATTGAAGTCTCCTTTCCGGTACATTGCAAATATCTCAGACACACCTTTGCGATTCCCGAAAAACCATAAGAAGCAATAGCTGCTAACGCATTATCATGACCTAGCTGACTGCAAACTACATCTGCACCCTGCTTGTCCCAATGATCACCACAAATCGGCCCCCAGAAACCTCCAAACAGAATTTCCACACGGGGATGTAAGGTATGCGAGTCTCTTGCACGGATCCTTACTGTTGAGAAGAAGTAAGATTTACTCCAAGTTATAACTTCCTTGATGACCTTGAGTTATCTCTCATAAATACAAGCGAAATTATTGTCAATGTTTCATGATTAAAAGGCGGATTGATTCGTATTGAAGAGTCTTAAAATTTGTCTATTCATTAACAGATATCAAGGCAAAGTTCGGAGTTAAGTAACACGTTTTTCTCTTTTTTGTGTTATTATAGAATCAACAATCAGCATTTATATCCCACTTGCACTAAACCTGCATAATCTATGATTTATCAATCATCGATTAACTCTTTATCATCCGGCAAAAAACCTTATCATTTGGCCATACAAAACTTAAGCTCACTTTGTTTGTCTTTATATGAAATATCCCTTACAATATTTGCAACGGATATAGAAGCTCTCAGGACAGCATCATTAAGCTGGAATGTGTGTAGAGGCAAGCCTCTGAGAGAAAACAGAGGTGAGAGGTGGTTTGATGTAGACTGTACCACCAAAATGCTTTCATGCAAGCTTGGCGAATTCACAAGTGAAGGCGTTTCTCTGGCCAGAGTCTGGATTGCTACCATGACCTACCAAGGCCATTTGGGCCATTTTCTAGTAGCAAGAGTCTGGATCGATGTGATATTTTGCAAGTAGGACTGGGTGGTCCGACACTTATAATAACTTACTAAAATGGAAATGTGAGGTGTTGCCTTCTCGAGTTGTGGTGGAATTTCCCAGAATTCTTTTCGGTCATAAACGAGGCAAAGGTTGTGTTTGCGACACTAGCTTTCGTCGAAAGGAGGAACAAGGGCTAGCGGATAAAGTGAGAAGGCATCTTCCAGCCAAACAGCAAGATCTGGCCCTGAGGTGTGTTTTGAATACAAACTTTTGATTTCTTGAGCAAGTTTTGATCTTGAAAGATCGACACTATTTCAGTGTTGCTCTTGGAGCAGAATGCTGGATTTTTGTGTTTTGTTGTTATATGAACGATTCACTGCAATGGAAATCGGGAATCATTGTGGGTGTTTTAGGCTGCAATAAGTGTCACATCAAACAGCCTTGCAATGTACACACTTACATAATGTTGTCTCTTAATTTCAACAAGAAATAAATAACAACAGTTATGGGTCTTGTTTGCCCAATGTATGCTTTGATTGATAGAAAAGGGTTAAAGACCCGCTTTAAATACTTTAATTCTGTGTGTATACCTTCTGGACCAGCACAAACAACGCCAACGTTTCCGTCGGTGGAACAGCTGTTATTTGAATATCCGTTGTGGACACACATGGAAAGCGAGCTCTCATTCCCAGCACACTGAAAATTGTTTATCCACAACGAGCCATTCCCTTGCACATTTGGAGAAACTGTGTATACCGAGGATGCGCCTATGTAACCCAACTCTTTACAAATCACATTAGCTTCTTTCTCAGGTTTCCAGTTCTTAGCGCAGATCCAGCCCCATGTGTTGTTACGATAAACTTGAACAAGGCCTTCTCTGGCTGACGGTCCTCGAACTAAACGAACTGAAGGGAATATTTACCACAATTTAAGGTTATTTGCTTGCAACAAGGTAATGTGTGTTAACCAAGTAAAACTTATCACTTGGACAACCTAAACAAAATGACAGATCTCCGGCGGAAATTGCAAAATAAACAAAGGACTTCCTAGTAGCTTAGATTGGCTGATTAACCACATTCTCCCAGGTGTTGTTCTTATTGTCTGATGGGAACAACACTTTTCAGTAAAAGCAGTTTTCGATCTAGATAGGTAGATGAAAGAACTAAAAATTAAATCAGCGATAAAGCAGGGGTGATATTAGGTCCAGCAGTGGAGTTTGCTAATAGCTGATGTTGATTTCTTTCTTTTATTTTTGCAGAGCAAACGACTTGCCTGATTAGAAGTTCAAAACCAGAATACGGCCGTTCAAAAGCAATGGCGAAATGATAAAACAAAAAAAATAAACAAAAAAGGAAACAAAAGTTGTTGAACTAAAACTAGGAATAGCCTGTTGCTGTCGTGGAAAAGGAACATTTTCTCAGGAACATAAACAAATAACTCGTGGACATGTCGGTTCTTCTCACCTGATGGAGAACACGCTACACCAACTTCTCCTATCCAGCAATTGCGGCCCACACCAAACAAGTTGTGTGTGCATTTTAATATTGAAGTCTCGTTTCCAAGACAATGAACATTGGTTACTTTAACATCATCTTATCCTGTTTGAAACCGTTCATGGTAGGTAGGTTGTGCAGCACCATGATATCCCAGCTGACGACAAACTACATTGGCCTCCGGAAAATCCCAATCGTAGTCATAACATATTCCTGCCCAGACGCCATTAAACAAAACCTCTACTTGGCCCTGATATGATGTAAGTTCACCACCTATTAAGCGAACTACAAAGAGAGAGTTTTAAAGTGCACCTGACCCCTAAATTTTTTTTCACTTAAAAAAAATCTTCCTGGTTTGGTGAGTATTTCTTCGAAAAAATTGTTGGATTTGGTAAGACCCTCATTCTTTTATGCCCTGTTGAAGTCGAGATCCGAATGGACCACGACCGCGTAAATGGGGATCTGGGCAGAGTAGACTTGTGACGTCACTTCGAGAAGACGCTCAAGGAATTCTCAGCCAGTCGTCGACCTTCGAAAGCCTTTCTAGCACTAGATTCATTCTGCGGCATATTTGCGACCAATATCGATCTAACCTTCCAAACATAACCAGTGAACTGTGCAAAATGGCGCGAAATACAGATTGTTGGGTTCTCGAAGTGACGTCACACTAGTCGCCAGACACTTGATCCTTGAAACGCGGTCGTGAGTCAAAATGGCGGTGGTTTTAATGTGATTTTCCGTGCCTCAACAGGGCACAAATATTCAAGGATTTGACCAAATCCAAAAATTTTTTCGAAGAGATACTCACCAAAACATGAAGACTTTTTTAAACGAAAAAAAAACTTAGGGGTCAGGTGCACTTTAAAAAATGCCATGCGCTTGTATGGGAAACCGGGCCAGCCCCATCAGGCGAGAGACACAAAGGGTGCAATAATGCAATAAATAAACGTTAAGGAAGCAGCAGTTACTCGGAATTTTCGAAAAGGATAAAACTTAAGCTGAAATTTTGTAAAGGTCACTAAAACTTATAACAGTGAAACAGGTAAGTTTCCTGCTGAGTTGGGCTCACAATGGGATTGTTCTGGATTAGTAGCAGCGACGTAAAAGCAGTAAATGTAGTGTGGTGGTAGATAAAATGTAGGAGGCGCGGCGGCCTCATCGTTAGTCAGCTCGACTCCAGATCGAGTAGTCTGGGTTCGAGCCCCGGCCGGGGACATTGTGTTGTGTTCTTAGGGAAGACACTTTACTCTTACAGTGCCTCTCTTCACCCGGGGGAATTAAATGGGTACTTAGTAGAAAAAGTAGTGATGGTAGTAGAAGAAGAGGTAGTAGCAGTGGTAAATGGAATAGACGCACAGTAGTAGTGAATGTAGTAGTGACGCACAGTAGTAGTAAGGAATCTGAGAAGTAGAGGCAGTAATAATATCAAACTTTACAAGAACAAATTAGTGTTACCCTCAGGTCCGGTGCATCGCACCCCCGCTATTTGATTGCTTACACAGCTCCTATTAAACCATCCTCCATGAACGCAGGAAAAAAGAGAAAGTTCATCTCCAGTGCAATTTACATTGCTTATCCAGGTGGTGCCATTGGCACCGTCACGTGCTGTGTCTGTGTAAGCTTCAGAAGGGCCTGAATATCCCAGCCAATTACAGGTCACATTAGCGTCTTGTTTTTTCCATTGCTCACCACAAACCCAGTTCCAATTGTTGTTGTAATAAACTTGCACAAAACCTTGCTTGTTAGATACCCCTCCTGCTAGGCGGACTGTAAAAGAAAAAGGAAATTGATGAATAATCCGGCGCACATCCCGCGCCAAGTCTAAAATCTGTCAATTATCAATATTGTTTGTTGAAAGAGCAAAGAAGCATCTTTTTTGAGACCTTCGCCTAAAAAACGTATTTTTTTCTCATTTACCTGACGGTTTTGTTATAAATTTCCTTGTTGAAAACCCATTTGGTTCAGCTGGATTGCGACTGAGAAATTTGACCTTTTGTTTTTTAGCGGTCCGGAACCTTATATCGAGCGTCTAGTTATCTAGTTTAGATTAGATTCAGACCCTGGAAAACATCCTTTCCTTACGTGGGTACCTTGAAAATGTCCGATAAATATTGGTGAAAAACACACAGTAACTCTTAAAATAAATTCCAAAAACAAAACTGTTTATCTATCTCTTGAAACATCAGGTTGAGGTCTAATGCTCCATGTTGTTGTGACAAACCAAATTTGAGAGGTGAGGATACCACGAAATTCCTTTGTTTGCCGATGTTTCTTTCCTTTTTTTTTTCGGAGGAATGACGTTTTTTATCAGTATTTTTTTATTCAACGCTATTACAATCTACGATGCGATACAAACAGAAATGCTAACTATTGCATAATCAGATACGATGAATATATGAAGTTCATATATTTTGAACTGCGGTTATAGATACGTATGATGCACGATCCTCGCAGTAGAGAGCGCTATTTATGCAATAGCGAAAATCAGACCTGAAAAAAATCAGTTCAAAATATATGAACTTCACATATTTATCGTATGAATGAATGAATGAATGAATACCTTTATTTAAGTGTCAGACTAAAATAGCAGTACATAACCACTAAATGGGGACACTACAAAATAAATTAAAAATGACTAAATCCATATATTAATTAAAGTTAAAATGCTAATTGAGCTAAAAATACTAAGATTGGTTAACATGCTAAAATATTTACAATATGTACAAGATAAAAT